CACGCCTCCCCCCTCCCCCCAGCTCCACACAGCTGCCCTTGGCAGCCTGATCCTGCCCCCCTCCATCTGACACCAAACCCGCTTTCCCAGGCCCACATGGCCGCTCTCCATCACCGGAGTCTGCCCCCTTGGGTCCAGGGTTCAGGCTTGGGCATCCGAGGGTGACCAGCGGCGCATAGGGAATGGGATTGGGATCGGGTGGGCAAGGGTGGCTGGTGGGGCCCAGAGGGGTGGGATCAGCAATGCAGCCAGATTTACTTCTTACACACAGCACCGTACTTATTACACTTTCAAAGGAACTCTTTAAGCTGTCATTAGAGTTTAAGTGCTTTACAGAAACGGTCTGCTCTAAAAAAGCCACTATGAAATAGCCTTCGTTTCACTGAACCCATGTTTTACTGTCCGGGAAGAAAGAGCCTCTAGCAATTCAAAGGGCTAAAGTACTTCCCCAAACCCCCCACCTCTGATCTGTCTACTTCTGGACTCCCTGCCTCTTCCCCTTTCTGCAAATATTAGAAAGAAAAGGCTTCGAGACCAGAGATTCATGGCCTAGCCTATCACAGCGCCTCAGTTCACACTTAGAGACTAGGGGAACAGACTCAGTGTCACAAACCAGCAATAAAACATGCCCACTAGTAAATTCCACCTATTGGGAAGAGCTAAATCCCCCTTGGATTATTTAAAGCTCTGTGAGTCCTTGGAGAGAAAGGCTGCACCTTTTTATTGCTGCACTATTAATACAAAGCTGGTAAAACACTTACTGTCGCTCTGTAAATCTTCCAAACACAAGAGTCAGTTGCGCAGACATTGGGGCTGGAAGGAAACTTAGGGGCCATGAAGTTTGACTCTCATCCCCATATTCTCCTTTCCCAGTCATGGAGCAACTTCTCTAAAGCACTGACATGCTAGGATCCCAGCTTCGGCTCATCAGAGCTTCGGCATGTAATAGGCGTGGTTCTTGGAAGAGAAGAGCTGTGATCGTAGGGTCGTCTACAAAGACACATAGGCATAGGAAGTGATCTTCCACAAGTGTTGAAAATCTCTTTAAAGAATCCCCCTACCAATTAATCCCCTGCCGCCACAATCAACAAAGAGAAGATATCTTCTAGAGAAGGTCTCTTGTGCAGAAGGTTTCCAGAGTGCCCATGGGGCTATGTTTGAGATCTTGAAAGCTTCCTTTATGCCAATCACCTGGCCTGAAACTAAAGCTGGTGCGGTGGGGGCGTGAGAATCATTTCCCCATTCTGCAAAATTTTTCTAGCTTTCAAGGAATTTTCCCAGTCCAAATTGGGATGTGACGTTAACGTTTCAAAAATTGCCCAGAAATGAAATTTAAAAAAAAAATCAGGTTCAGCCAATCAAAACACTGGGTTTCAATAATCATAGTATCATAGAACACTAGAACTGGAAGAGACCTTGAGAGGTCATATCTTCAGAGATGGACCTTCCACAACCTCCCTAGGCAATTTATTCCAGTGTTTAACTCCCCTGAAAGTTAGGAAGCTTTTCCTAATGTCCAGCCTTGCTGCAGTTTAAGCCCATTGCTTCTTGTCCTAGCTTCAGAGGCCAAGGAGAACAATTTTTTCCCCCTCCTCCTTGTGACACCCTTTTAGATACCTGAAAACTGCTCTCCTGTCCCCTCTCAGTCTTCTCCTTTCCAAACTAAACAAACCCAATTCTTTCAGTCTTCCCTCATAACTCACGTTCTCTAGACCTTTAATCATTCTCGTTGCTCTTCTCTGGACCTTCTCCAATTTCTCCACATCTTTCTTGAAATGTGGTGCCCAGAACTGGACACAATACAGCTGGTCCCCAACTTATAAATGAGTTACGTACCAAACAGTAGGTCGTAACTCGATCTGTTCGTAAATCGGATTACATTCACTTATGTACGGCCATGCTGTTCGTAAGTGCAGATTTTGTTTGTAACTCAGGTTTCGGCTGTATAGGAAGCTGGTCATAAATACGAACGGTCATAAGTCAATGCGCTCGTAACTCAGGGACTGGCTGTACTCTAATTGAGGCCTAACCAGCGCAGAGTAAAGCGGAAGAATGACTTCTCCTGTCTTGCTCACAACGCTCCTGTTAATATAGCCCAGATTCATGTTTGCTTGTTTTGCAACAATATCACACTGTTGACTCATATTTAGCTTGTGGTCCACTGTGACCCCTAGATTCCAGTTCTCCTTCCTAGACAATCGCTTCCCATTTCTGTGTGTGAAATGGATTGTTCCTTCCTAAATGGAGCACTTTGCATTTGTCCTTATTCAACTTCATCCTATTTACCTCAAATCATTTCTCCAGTTTGTCCAGATCATTTTGAATCATGACCCTATCCTCCAAAGCCCTTGCAACCCCTCCCAGCTTGGTATCATCTCCAAACTTAATACAGGCAGTCCCCGAGTTACGCGGATCCGACTTATGTCAGATCCGCAGTTACAAACAGGGCTTTTCTCGCCCCCGAAGACACGAGCGGTGGGACGCCCAGATGCGCCGCGGTCCTGCCTCCCGCGTCCTCCAGGGTGAGAAAAGCTGCTCCGCGTCTCCCTAGTCTGCTGGGGGGGGTCCCCCCCAGCAGACCAGGGAGACGCGGAGCAGCTTTTCTTGCCCCGGAGGACGC